CCGATGTCCGTGGGTTGCTCCCCGCGATGACGATACTGTTTCGTGAACACGGTCGTTGACGAGGACAAAACAACAACAACAACAACAAAAAACCAGAGTGGAACAGAAAGCCGAAGAGCGCCCACAATAATAATAATAAGTCTTACATTTTGATTTAAAGCTTTCGTGACTGCAGAGATTCATATTCTTGGTTCTTTCGGTAAAGTCACCACGTAGAAGGGAAACAATAAAATAATAAAAAATATAAAAAAATAATTCTCACGACATTTCGACTGCAACACAAGCAATCATCATCAGGTGTGAAAACCACAGCAAGAAAATAATAAGTCTTGATTTGAAGCTTTCGTGACTGCCGGAATCCATATTCTTTGGTTCTTTCGGTAAAGTCACGTAGTTAGAAATAAATAAAATAAAACAAATCACGACGTTTCGATCGCAACACAAGCGGTCGTCATCAGGCAAAGGAGTCAGCCTCTAAAGGCGAACTGTTTATAAAGGTTTGGGGATGGGCATAGCCCAAGTGTATCAACAACACCAGGAGCACGGGCGGTGCACGAGTGCCAATGCAGCAACAATGCGAATGCAGCAACAATGCCAATGTAGCAACAATGCCAATGCAGCAACAATGCCAATGTTGCAACAATGCCAATGCAGTAACAATGCCAATGTAGCAACAATGTCAATGTAGCAACAATGCTAATGCACTGACATGGAGCCGACTGATGGAGGAACGCCATGATCACTCCGGCGATGATGATGGTGACGATGATGAGGATGACGACGATGATGATGAGAATGACGACAGTGATAATGATGGTGATGACGATGATGATCGTGACGACGATGATGATGATGATGACGATGATGACGATGAGGATGACGGAGCGGCGGCCAAGGAATGGAATGCGATTCCGAGAGCACGTCCGCCGCGGAGACGGAGCAAAGAGACGAGCGCCTTGGAGAGGGCCCTTCATCCAGCAGTGGATTGACCATGGCTGATGATGATGACGATAATGACGCTCAACCCTTACACAGTAGAAATTGGGTATGTGTGGGGGAGCGGTGGCGCAGCAGTTAGCGCACTGCGCCACGAGACGAGTGACCAAGAAGAGTGACGAATGATCTGAACCTGTCCTGGGCCTCCCGTAGGTCAACTCGGCATTAAATGCGTAACTTGGTGCGGTGTGTTAACATCGCCCCGCGTGCCGTGGCAGGCCTTAATAGGTGCTCGCGAACAGCACTCGCCACATTTGTCGTTGAGCGCGGTTGGCTATGTACGGTGCAAAGGAAGTTCTGCAGTGCGTACCTACAAGGCTATATGAAACTCGCATAATGTCCGTGATGCAGTTATTTTACACGCTTTCTTTTAACTCACTCTGTATGTTGTTGATATCGTTGTTGTTGTTGATGTCGTTGTAGTATCCTCAAATCTTGTAACTAAATTTGAATCCACTTCCCAATGTGGTATCGACTGCAAACTTGGTATACTTATGTCATACTGATGACAATACTATATCTTGAAAAAAATATATATTTTTAAACAACTGACGTTGGCTGTAATTGGCCACGGTGCCCTTACGTTGTGGCAAGCTTCGGGGCCACTTCCTGGAGTCGTGGAGTTCTTCCATTACTAGTACATTTCATAAAAGCGTGTTTTTGAAAAAGTTTTTTTTTAATATTACTTATATTGAGTCTGTTGATGGTCGGCGATGCGGCAATCGACTCATCTCGACGAGCTGTACACGACGCACTATTCAAAGTTGCATTTTTCGATAACAGATTTTTTAAATGCTATAATGTTTGGCGTTTCCACATCGCGGAGTGTGGCACTGATTTCGGATTGATTGTTTACCCCAGTCGCGGAGTGAAGTAACACCCCTGGGAAAAAAATAGTGTCCCAGAAATAAAACATTTAATTGCCTCGGACATTTTGTTTTATTTGGTTACCCCGGGGTACCGCCATGAGGATCATTTGGTAGAACTTGATCGAGAACCGTCGTGTGTGTTTTGTGATAATGCACGGTATGTACATTTCTCGTTAGGCCTTGGGGGACGAGAGTGCACGGGTGGAGAATCTGTACGTCGGTTTCATTCGGGACGGAAAGGGGCCGTCCATAAATGACGTCACGCGATTTTGGACGATTTTTGGCCCCCGGCATCACAAAAAAAATCAGACCCCCTCAAATATGACGTCACAAAGCTCTGCCCCCCCCCCCCCCCGCAAAGAATAAATAAAACATGTTTCAAATCGCTTTAAACTATTGTCATTGTAGTGCGTATTTAATGTGGCGCTGCACTCTGATGTTGTAGGAGAAAACATTTATTAAAAAAGTCTATTTAATTAAGTAGAAAGTGTCGTCTATATTTATTTAAAGTTGCGCATTTTGATGTGACGTCACATTTCTCAACCCCCCCCCTCCCCTCGTCACACAACGTCACAAATGTCTGACCTCCCCCCTGGTGCGTGACGTCATTTATGGACGGCCACTCAGGAAGCTATACGGGGAGGGGGGTGTCTTTGTATTTGGTGATGGTGGCTGTATTTGGGGTTGTGATGATGGTGGTGGTAGTGGTTGTTGATGGGGGGGGGGGGTGTAGCGGATAGTGCGCTGTGCTACGAGCACGGAGACCCGGCCAACACCAGTGGCGATTATCTGAAGCGGTCCCGGGCTCTACCCTAAGGTCGACTCAGCCTCGAAACGAGTACCTGGTGCGGTGTCTAAACGTTCGCCACTTGGGAGACAAAGGCGGACGGCCGTGCCGACCTTCATAGGGGTGCGCTGCTCGCGAACAGCAAACTCGCCCCAGCAGCCAGTTTGGAGGCTATACGGGGGGCTCTTTGGTGTTGGTAGTGTTGGTGGTGATGGTAGTTGGTGGTGGTGGTGGTCGTGATGATAACGGTGGTAGTGATAGTAGTGGCAGTGGTCGTGATGGTAGCGGTGGTGATGTAGCGGTGGTGATGATAGTGGTGGTAGTGGTGGTGATGGTAGCGGTGATGGTGGTGGTGATGGTGATGGTAGTGGATGGTGGTGGTTGTGATGGTAGCGGTGGTGGTGACGGTAGTGGTGGTGATGGTAGCGATTGGTGGTGGTGATGGTAGCGGTGGTGGTGGTAGCGGTGGTGATGGTAGTGATGGTAGTGGCAATGGTGGTGATGGCAGCGGTTGTTGGTGGTGATGGCAGTGGTGGTGGTGATGGTAGCGGTTGGTGATGTTGATGGCAGTGGTGGTGATGGTAGTGGTTGGTGGTGGTGATGGTAGCGGTGGTGATGGTAACGGTTGGTGGTGGTGATGGTAGTGGTGGTGGCAGTGGTGGTAGCGGTGGTGATGGTAGCGGTTGGTGGTGGTGATGGTAGCGGTGGTGATGGTAGTGGTGGTGGTGGTGATGGTAGTGGTGGTGATGGCAGTGATGGTAGTGGTGATGCTAGCGGTTGGTGGTGGTGATGGTAGTGGTGGTGGTGATGGTAGTGGTGGTGATGGTAGCGGTTGGTGGTGGTGATGGCAGTGATGGTAGTGGTGGTGGTGATGGTAGTGGTGGTGATGGCAGTGATGGTAGTGGTGGTGGTGATGCAGCGGTTGGTGGTCGTGGTGGTGATGCTAGCGGTTGGTGGTGATGGTAGTGGTGGTGATGGCAGTGATGGTAGTGGTGGTGGTGATGCTAGCGGTTGGTGGTGGTGATGGTAGTGGTGGTGGTGATGGTAGTGGTGGTGATGGCAGTGATGGTAGTGGTGGTGGTGATGCAGCGGTTGGTGGTCGTGGTGGTGATGGTAGTGGTGGTGGTGATGGTAGTGGTGGTGATGGCAGTGATGGTAGTGGTGGTGATGGTAGTGGTGGTGGTGATGGTAGTGGTGGTGGTAGTGGTGGTGATGGTAGTGGTGGTGATGGTAGTGGTGGTGGTGATGGTAGTGGTGGTGATGGTAGTGGTGGTGATGGTAGTGGTGGTGGTGATGGTAGTGGTGGTGGTGATGGTAGTGGTGGTGGCAGTTCGTAGTCGCGGAGGCGACGGCGATGCCCGTTGGGGTGTCGCGGAAGTGAAGGCGCCGCGTGACGCGCTTTCCCAGCAGCCGGTGACGACGTCGCGCGTGACTCATTGCCAGAAAGCGCTTCTCCGTAGCAGCTGTTTGTTTCACTTCGCGTGCACCCCACTGGACTCCTACTCCCTCCTCCTCCCCCCGGCAGCTAAATCCCCCACCTCCCCGACTCCCTCCCCAGGTGATGTGGCCAGAACCCAAGCCCGGCCGCCTTTGTCTCCCCAACTAGCTGATTTAGTTTTTTTTGGGGTTTCATACACACACACACCGTACCAAGTACTCGTTTGAGGGCCGAGTCGACCTAGGGGTGAGCCACAGTTTTATCTGGAGAATACGGTAACGCCACCCCCCCCCGCCACTCCTCCACCACGACAAAGTTAGAACAGCACAGCAATGCTCACAACGCACAGGCGTTAAACGCGTGCGGCTCCGTGAGAATTAATAACGGCAGGCGTAAAACACAACTGTGAATGCGATGGGGGAGGCCTTAATCCAGCAGTGGATTGACCGTGGCTGATGTTGATGCTGATGAGCGGCGGTTTCGGGAGGGGTACATCCCAGCAGTGGACTGAGCATGGCGCGATAGGAAAATGAAAGCAAAAGGGCCCGGCCAACACAAATCAAGCAATGCATCTCTCGGCCGTCACATTAAGCAACGCACGTAATTTTTGTTTTAATTTTCGGGGGTACCAAAATAATAAAAGAACACATTCCCGGCAATGGGTGAAGTTAGAAGCGATCGTGATGGTAGCTCTCAGATGTGCTGCTGCTTCTGCGGCCGTCTGGAACGCTCCCTCCGATGTTAGGGGGGGGGGGGAACCACTGGACTTTAATTAAATTATATATTTTTTTATTGTTGTCCATTACCCCCTCCGCACCATCCGATTAGCACGGCTGACTACGAAACGGTTCGAAAGAAGTTCAACACACGCAAATTACGTACGTACGTGCGTGCAATATACACACACGCACGCCACTGCTGATGCTGTAGCTGCTGCTGCTTGATGACGATGCTGATGATAAGCTGAAAGCAGAACTAGAAAGCGCTCGTCGGTGGAGGCGGAGTGAGTCCGGAATTGACTGCCTTCCACGCAGGGGCGGGGAGAGAAGCGGTGGTGGAGGCGATATAAACGCGGTGGTTCAACCGTCGGCAGCTCACAGATTTTACATCAGACAAGGAGGGGGCATTGTTGGCTCGCACAGAAAGAGCCAGAGAGAGAATCAACCTCCAACAACGTCTCACCAACGGTAAATGCTTAATGTTTTATATATAGTTGTGTGTGCGCTGAAGTGTGTGTGTGTGGTGGGGAGCGGTGGCGCAGTGGTTAGCGCTACGCTGCGCTACGAACCTGGCGACCCGAGTTCGATTCCCGCTCACGGCCAACACCGCCAGTGACGATTATCTGAACCTAGGTCGACTCAACTGGCGCGATGTGTAAACATCGCCACTGGGGAGACAAAGGCGGCCGGGCGTGGTGCTGGCCACCCCACCCCCTCGTGTACCGTTCCAGCCTTCGTAGGTGCTCGCTAACAGCACTTGCCCCAACCAGTCTGTTACAGGCTATACGCGGGATCTTTGTCTTTGGTGGGTGAAATGTGGCGCAGTGGTTAGTCGCACTGCGCGACAAACATTACGTTGCAGTTGCGAGCTCCCCGCCCCAGAGTAACCCCGAGTTTGATTCGCGACCACGGCTACCATCAGTGGCGAGGTGTGTGTGTGTGTCTAAACCGATTCGTGGGACTGCTCGTGAGTGGCGTCGGGTCGATGCACTCTAGGGCTGAACGATTTGGGGGAAATATCTAATTGCGTTTTTTTTCTGACAAATATTGCGATTACATTTTTTTAAGTCGAGCTTCAGCTCAATGTTCACTGTGTAATAGATTTTTAAAACAACGTGATGGAGCATTACCACGTGAAACCATCAAAATATCAACCGCTCTATATATTCTAATGCAAGGATGAGAACTTAAAATCTATGAATTGCCTCCAACATGTATTTATTAAAATGTTTTAATTGACAAAAGAACAATCAAACATAGAAAAATTGTTAAGTTAAATAAAAAAAACGTTATAATAATTATAAAAAAAATAAACAATTCCAATAAGAAAGTAATAGGATGTTTCAAATCGCAGCCTTTGCGATTGGCTAACCGCATTGTTTCAAATTGCGATTTCGATTTGAATTCGATTAATCGTTGAGCCTTAATTCAGCCCTCTTGAGTGAGGAGCCGGTGGCCGTGTGTAAACGTCAGGCACTGGGGGAGACAAAGACGGCCGGGGCTTGCTGCTGACCACACCAACCTACCCCCCAGCAAGTACCGGTGCCGTTCTTAATGGGTGCTCGCTCGCTAAGAGCACTTGCCCCATCGGCTATATATGTGTTGCGTGCGCGCCATTCAGTCGTGCCACGCGCTCGTTGTAGGCTCGGTATGCACCACACAGGGCACGGTGTTAACTCACCGCTGAGTCAGCCTCTATGAGAGGAAGTGAAGGTTCGATCGGGGCCTCATTCATTCTTCTGTGCCAGGGGTAGGTAGCCTGCTGCTCTGTTTAAAAGGACTGCTTCGCGACGTTAAAGAATTAGCGTCTCGTGGTCATCACGTGGGGAGTTGTTACCGTTATTTTACGATAAATCGTAACTCAGAGACAGAAGAGGCCAGCCTTGATTTAAAGCTTTCGTGACTGCAGAAATTAATATTCTTTGGGTCTTTCGGTAAACAAAACTGACACATTTTTTACAAGGAGTCATGTTTACATTGACCACAATACCTGCGGTCGGAACGCAAACAAAAAACAACAACTCTGATAATGTATGCACTGTCCTTGAAATTGATTGGTCCACACCCGAGACAGCTTTCTTTAGAGCCTCGTCTCACATGGTGTTGGACCAGAAGACGCCAAAAGGCGCACAACTCAAAGGCAATGCACCATCAGAGTATGATAGCTCCGGGTAAGCATTTACACCATTGGAAACCTCATTTGCCAGTAACAAAATATGATAATTGTTTTTTTACCCTTTTATCTGGCAACAAAACTGACACCTTTTTTTTACAAGGAGTCAAGTTTACATTGTTGCCAGATAAAAGGGTAAAAAAACAATTATCATATTTTGTTACTGGCAAATGAGGTTTCCAATGGTGTCTTTTGGTAAAGTCATCTAGATGGGTTCAAAGAAAATAACAAAAAACGACGTTTCGATCGCAACACAAGCGGCCGTCCTGATGAACGAAACGTGTTTTTTTGTTATTTTCTCGGAACCTATCTACGTGACTTTACCGAAAGACCCAAAGAATATAAGAGGCCAGGTTTGGCTCACATCCTGCTTGAGGGTTGGTTGTGTCCATCAATTCTCCCGGAGTTGACCAAGAATAAAGAGAAAGAGAGAGCACTGTTCACACCTTGTGTGGAAGTCAACAGTGGTTCTTCTTATAGATAGATCTTGCCTCCGCCATATCAATGTGGAATTTTCACCACCCCCCCCCCCCCATGGCTCAGAGGGCTGTAAACGGAGGCTGAGCACCACCTAAACGCCAACTCTGAGCAAGAACCCACTTTGAACCTCAAAACATAGCGGGGGGAGGGGGGGGATACGTTATAGACAAAGATATATTTTCAAATCAAGAAATATATATTTATTTCCATACCTCCCCACGTCTGCCCGCCCCATCCATCTATCTCAATAAAAATTATGACAAATTTTAACAATCCACGCGCTAAGGTATGGAGGTTAGGGTGGGGGGGCATCGCTTTGACAAGTCTTCCACCCGCTGTTAAGCAGAAAGGTAATGGTGCCATTAGACGTCGCTTGGAGGGGACGGGGGTTGGTGGTGGTGTCTGTACGGGGATCGCAAACCCTGAATATGGTCCCGGCTTTTATAATGCCGCCACGTTTGCTCGGGAAAACGGCCTCTCTCTCTCTCTCCCGAGCCTCAAGGCCCTTCTCAAGGAGGCTCTTGGCGCCATTGGGAGCTGTTTGGCTAAATTCCATTCACGAGTGATTTGTCTTCACGCTGAAAGGAAATCGGGAGTATCCGGAGAAAATCCATCGTGGAAAATATACATTGGGGGAGAGAGGGTGGGGGTAACGCTTCAAGCCCCGCACAGATGGATTCCATTCTATATGCTGTCCTGTCATTGCCCTTCGCAGACCATCGAGATACATTTTTTCGCAGTTTCACAAGTTTACAAGATCCATAACAACGACAAAAAAAATCGTAAATCCTGCCACGAATTATCGTCAGGCCCCCCCCCCCTAACGGGGCTATGTTGCAATCCTACTTGCTACCTTTACCAGCGTCGTAAAGCGGATGTCACCGGCGCCCACACATTGCTCGTTGTCACAGCCAAACGTTAACAAATGGTCAATGGCTCTCTCTTGTCTATGAGTCACGTCTCAAAGGCCGTCGGTGAGCGGCGGCCTTCCTTCCGTTCATCTCTGGGCATCTGTTGAAATACCCCCCCCCCCCCCAAAAAAAAAGAGCTTCCTAGGCTCGTCGGATATCTTGAGATCTCGCCACGTTAAACGCAAATCAACGTCGCTATAAAATGTTCGCGTAAGGTGACTTGTACCCGCCGATTTGAACACCCACTACCGAATGAGGGCAATCCCACCCCCGCCCCCATGCCGTACCGGTCGTGTGAGTTATTTGACCATACTTCACCACGCTGGTTAATGCGCTTTGGCGACGGGGGATGGGAGGGCAGGGGGGGGGGTGCTCAGGGCAGGTTCAGATATCACTAGCCACGGGTATTAGCCGTAGCCGGGAATCGAACTCAAGTCGCCTTGCGCCGCAGGTGCAACCGTTGACCATTTGTGTGCATAGTTATTTATATTCAGCGGGTGTGCAAACGGTGTCGCAATGGTTTACCCCACTGCACCTATGAACCCTACAAACCAGGTTCGATTCCCGAGCTTACAATTAAACATCGAGCGGCAAGCGATTTGCGAGATGCGGGACGGCCCTAGACTCCTCCGTCCCTGTCTTTCGCCGTCAAAGACCCCCCTCCAACCCCCTGTGTAGCCTGTCGGGGCAAGTGCTGTGAAGCGAGTAGCAACCCAGGAAGGCGGGCAAGGCACGCGAGGTGAGTGGGTGCTCAAGCATCACGCCACAACCTATCAAGTGCCGTCACAGTCAAGCGAATCCCCCAAGACAGACGCCGCGTTGTTGAAGGCCCTCTCGGTCACGCCAGTGGATTTGGACGGACGCGTCGGGCGGGGAATTCTTCCGCTCCGGAGCGAACACCGGGGCGAGATTCGCTGTAATCGAGGGGGTCGGCAAGGAGAAATTACCCGTAGCCAGAGAGCCCCCCCCTCCCCGCCACCAGCCCCTTCGAGAGAGATCCTTCCAGTGGGAGGGAGGCGCGTCCGCTGGCAATGGCGTGAGCTGGCGATTTCGGCGCCGGCGCCTTTTACCGTTCGGGCTGACAACGGCTGGCGGGGAGTTCGTTCTTGGGAGATGAGCAAGGGGCCTACAAGTCTCCTCCGTCTCCGTCGCGTCTCCTGTCCAACCCGCACGTTGTGGGTCTTTTCCCAATATTCTGCACAGGCCGAATCTCTCTCGGCGTTGGCATTGCCAAAATCTCGAGGAAGCTCACTGTGGTGCCGCAGAGGAATCTGAGTAGGTGGTCCGTGGGTTCACTGCTCTCCCCGACAAGCACATTGTTGGGTTTGTGCAGAAGCCCCATGGGTTCCATGACAGAGTTGCGGCTCTAAGGGTACATTCAGTACCGACGACGGCGTGCCCTGTGCTCGCGAGGACAAAACGTGCACTTCCAGAGGGAGGGGTTGCCCCCCTTGCCCCCCCTCCCTTGTTGCCCCGCCCTTCCCCCGGGTTGCCCCCCCTCCCCCCACTCCTTTGCTTCATCCACACAGGCACTATACGCCTTGGCACGCAACATGTGCCAGCAATATTGGCTACATTTCACTTGAAATGTAAAAAAAAAACCCAGTTCATTTAGTGGGGTATAATTTGTGTGTAGGCATGTGGAACTTCTTTTATGCCACCGTACGTAGCCATCCGTGCAAATCGGAGGTGCGGGGGGTGAGAACAAACTAAACGCGCGCGAAGCAGTTATAAATACATGAGTTTTAGATGGTTTGAAAGTGCATAAAGCCTCCAGTGGCTTCCTAACATCGGAAGGAAGAGCGTTCCAGACGATATTGCCTCGCGTCGATTGCCTTAGCCATGCATACGCCTATTAAAGCAAAACAAATACGGTCGCCATAAACGTTTTTAAAATGTAATTCTCATTCAGGCCCCATGCTGTTGTGTGCAGTCTCGCAAACCGTTATTGACTCTTAATGCCTCTGGCCTCTCTGTTTTATATGCTCTGAAGAAGGGCCATTGCCGCCTAAAACGTCACCGATTATACGTGTGATTTTCTTTCGAGGCCACAGAGTTATTGACTTTATAAGTGTCAACAATTGTGGCAACAATGAGGTGGGGGGGGGGGCACTTATGGCAGGCTTCAGTTGAGTTGAACTGCGTTCAAATAACCTTTTTAGGTCACCTTCATCTGTGCTGGCTGACTACAACAAAGGGGCAACAAAGTAAAATCCCCCTTACAATAAAAGTAATTGTGAAATGCGTACACATTGGCGAGAAACTGAACGTCGCGATTTTTGTCGTGAAATCAACCCTATACGGTTGAAGCAACTGATCGATGCAAGGTGTCCCCCCTCCCCCCCCCCCGGAACTTTAGGGTGAACATATAAACAGATGCTTTGGGCAGGGCTCTCTGTAAATAAAGCATGAGTAAGAGTGTAAATGTTTTTTTGTGTTTGTGAGCAAACTTTGCCCTACCGGCAGCCGCTTCCTTTGCACGGTTAGCATCGCTGCCGTAATCACCTGCTTGGTCAAGATTGAATCCAGGTGGCAACTATAATCTCCATGGTCCATCCACACACCAAACAGACAACAGCAATCGATAACAACAAAAGTCTCGGCGATTTCCTTGCTGGAATGAGACACTGAGTGACACATTGGTGCATCTCTCCTGGTCATAGGCCTTACAGAAGCCAGTTGGTGGAAATTCTGCATTTCTTATGGTGGGGGTCATGGGATGATAGGCCGAGTCAACCATCGACCAGGATTTGTGCTTGTAACCTTCCAGTTGGGCGCTGCTCGCTCCGTACGTATGCACGTATACGTACGTTGAACTTCTTTCGCACCGTACGTAGCAAATCGTTGCTAATCGGAGGTACCCTGTTCCACTGAGCCATCCAGGCCCGAAACCATCCATTACGTAGCGTTGAGCGGCGCTTGCTAGAATCTGCCTTGCAAGATACCCGACTCAGAAGGGCGTCCGTCCGGTGTAAATAGAAAATAATTGATACGCCTTTTTGCCAAATCACCCGGAATGCACATGGTCTCATCAGACCTCGCAAGCTGTGCAGAACTGAGCCTTGATAGCGCCGAATTACTCCGTACATGGCGAGTTGCAATCACAGGTCGTGAGCATGGGGCGAGGAGTCGAGATCACGGATGACTGTGGGGAAGGGACTTCCAGACTATGAAGGCAGCAAGGGAGGAGTGATCTCCCGCTGAGTGGAGCTTGATTCGGGATTCTGACAGAAAGCTGCTGGTGCAGAGAGGCGGGAAGCGTGAGACGAGAGGTAGGAGAGTGCGAGGGGGGAGTAGAGTGAGATGAGAGGGGAGAGGTAGGAGAGTGCGAGGGGGGAGTAGAGTGAGATGAGAGGGGAGAGGTAGGAGAGTGAATGGAGGGGAGTAGAGTGAGATGAGAGGGGAGAGGTAGGAGAGTGCGTGGAAGGGAGTAGAGTGAGATGAGAGGGAGAGGTAGGAGAGTGCGAGGGGGGAGTAGAGTGAGATGAGAGGGGAGAGGTAGGAGAGTGTGTGGAGGGGAGTCGAGTGAGATGAGAGGTAGGAGAGTGCGAGGGGGGAGTAGAGTGAGATGAGAGGGAGAGGTAGGAGAGTGCGTGGAAGGGAGCAGATTGACATGAGAGGGGAGAGGTGGTAGAGTGCGTGGGGAGGGCAGAGTAGCTTGGGTTAGGCAGGACAGTCAATAGGTGTTCGGATGCCTGGGGTGAAATACCAAATGAGGCCTCGATTACCTTTTCTGAGGCCCCATCAGATCCGAGACCGCCTGGAGCAGAAGGAGAAAGGCGTAGACAGAAAGAGGAAGGGGGTGGGGTAAAGAGCCATAGTTTAATTAAGGGCAGCATTCGGATTTTGAGGGTGAAAATAAAAACTCTGCGATGTTTGTTGTGCACCATCGCACGGAGGTGTGGGACGGGTTTCGGGGGCATCGTGGGTGACGCGTTAAGTCGGCTTTGCTCCGCGTCGCTTACGCGGGTCGTTGCATTGCAGAAGTGAAGAGTTTCACTTTGTGAAACGGTGAAGTCATCGTTTGCATATGGGAGGCGTTCCACACGTGGAACCGGTGCTGCCAGTACATCGTTCACGATGAAGGTTGCGGGGAGCAGACACTGCCGTTCGCGTAGTCACGCACATGTTTCGCAGCGAACCTAACAAATCCATTAATCGCCGATACTAACGTTGCAGAGTACGGTCAAATACTCCCCCCTCCCTCGCCATGCGGGCCATGGCAGGGAAGGGGGATTGAGAAAAAGACTGCGCATGTGGCAAGTGTACAAAATTATCATCAGCTATGTAACAGGTCTCCAAATGTCTTTTTTAACGGAAGGCCAATTCCGTAATTGCATTTTCTATTATATTTTGCGTCGATACAACCAGCCTTCAACAACAATTGCTTGTCGAGATGTTATCAGGGGACCCCCATGGAAAGTAACCGCGGCATTCACCTGCAGGGCCGTCCACTCTCTAACGCCAGCTCCTCCTACTCCTTTGTCTTGCAGACCACCGGCATATCGGTGCCTCGGCCGCTCAAACATAGAGAGCAGCCCTCGCACCCCTCGCCGAACAAACGCAAGCCGCTGTCGGCCGAGCGCCCCACGATCGTGCGGCCGCCTCGGAAGAACCGACACAGCAACGGCAACAACGCCTCTCTCGCCGCACGCGGACACGCATCCCCGCTGACCATGCGCACGACCGACTTCTTCAACGTGCCGCTCTCCTCGGCCGCCAACGCGGGGCCCGTCAACACCTCCACCTTGGGGCCCGCCAAGGCCCCGCGGAGGAACGCTCCGGCACTGGACGCCGCCAGCGACGAGCCGCCGCCGGCCTCCCAGCGGACGCACTTCCTGACGTTCGCGTCGGAGGCCGCCTTCCTGACGGTGCGTCGCAGCTGGCTGAGCCTCCTCGAGAGCGGCTTCTACTGGGGCCCGCTGAGCCAGGCCCGCGCCGCCGCCGAGCTCGGGGGCCAGGAGGACGGCACCTTCCTGGTGCGCAACAGCGCCGACTCGCGCCACCTCTACACGCTGAGCGTGCAGACGCCGCTCGGCGCCGCCAACGTGCGCATCAAGTTCGACGGCGGCGCCTTCTACCTGGAGACGGAGCGCGAGCTCGAGGTGAGCGCACCGAAGTTCGAGTGCATCATCAGCCTGCTCCAGTACTACATACGGCGCACGGCCGCGGAGGAGGAGGAGGAGGAGGAAGAGGAGCGGACGAGGAGGAGCGGGGGCTGCGGCGACGCTGCCCCGCCGAGGAGATCCAGGGGCGTGCCCCTGAGGCTGCGGCGGCCCCTCGGGAGGTCCCGCCGCCCGCCCAGGCTCGACCACTGCTGCAGGAGGACGCTGAACGCCTGCTGCGCTCAGTCCGGGAGCAACCCGGCACTCGAGGGGCTGCCACTGCCGAGCAAACTCAAGGAGTTCCTCGCCGTGTACCCCTTCCAGCTGTGAAGGCTTTCCCGTCGATCGCCGGGGCGGCGTTTTGGACCACCCGTGGCTTATCATCACGTGGCCAATTACAGCAGCCAAATGCTCTAAACGTCCTTCGATTCACATTCTTAACGTGCAGGGAAAAAAACTGGAGGATCCCCATGCCACCACAGCGAGAGAGACACGCGAACTCAAAATTATTCAACAGGCATCGGGGTGGGGATGGAAACCCACGATGTCGCGTATACCGGGCGAGGTTGTTAACATCTCGCCTCCGTGAACGACGACTCCATCAAGCCACCCGCTGTCCTGCTCACCGATCGCGACGTGAACTCGTAAACAGGATCAGAATCTTTATTTAGGCTGGACATATGTCCATTGAACGCTCCTGCACTCCCGCGTCCTGCCGTGCGAAAGCAGACGTAGCAACCGTCGTCGCGGCCACACGGGCCTCTATTTATTTGCTGTATTTTTTTTTTACATGTTACACGATGTGTTTCGTTTCTAAATATGTATAATATATATTTTTTGTAATAATAAACTATCGATATGACGGATCAGTCACGTCAGGGTTGTACAATAAAACTCCCCGTTACCGTTGGACATTTGGGGGGGGGGGGGGGCGTCGGCAAATTTCTCTTTAGATGTCAAGTCAAAGCGGTGGTGTCAGAAGTGGAGCTTCGACGATTGTGCGGATTGGTCCTCCTGAAGCTTGCGATCCGCGCCTCAAATTGCGTGCGCGTGAGAAATTGGTGTGGTGCTCGACATCGTAAAATTACCGGTGAACTCCACGGAACGGTTGTGCACGTCAGGCGAGCTTAGCCGCCGCCGCTAAGAGTCTGCGACGTTTCACCGCCGCGCCCTCCTTAAAGATGGGACGGCGACGGGTGCGATATTCCAACGATTCATCGTCGTATCGCTGGGGGGGGGGGGAGGGGAGGTTAATCGTTGGCTACCGAGTGCAACGGACGCGTTGTTCACAAACTGCTGCCATCATCACCATCATCCTTGTTCTGAACTTCACTTTTTTGCCAGTGAAATACCTCCACGATGACTATCTCGGTTTGTAATAAAGAGTTGAATAGTTGACCAAACGCCGACTTACTACTGTCGTTGTGTGAACGAAAGCAGCATGTATTTACACAACAACACTCCGCTGCCAATAAAAGTTACATAAAACGAAGACAAAGACCCCCCTATATAGCCTTAATATACCTTAAGGGCAAGTGCTGTCAGCGAGCACCTACAAAGGCCGGCAAGATGCACGAGGGGGTGGGTGGCCAGCACCACGTCCAACTGCCGTTTTCACCCGAGTGGCGATGTTTACACACCGTACCGGGTCAGTTGAGGCTGAGTCGACCTATGGCAGGCCCAGGATCGGCTCAGATAATTGTCACTGGTCTTGGCCATGAGCAGCAATGGAAATCGGGCCACCGGGTTAGCAGCGCAGCGCGCTAACCGCTGCGCCACCGCTCCCCACATGAGAATGACACCGAACCACAAAGATAAAAATATCCCCCGTATGGCCTTAACAGACTGTAGGGGCAAGTGCTGTTAGCGAGCACCTATAAAGGGCGGCACAGCACACAAGGGGGTGGGTGGCCAACACCACGCCCGGCCGCCTTTGTCTCCCTAGTGACGATGTTTTACACATCACACCAGGTACTAATTTGAGGCTGAGTCTACCTAGGGAAGGCCCAGGACCGGCTCAAATAACCATCACTGGTGTTGGCCGTGAGCGGGAATCGATCCCGGGTCGGCAGGTTCATAGCGCAGCGCGCTAACCGCGACACTACCGCTCCCCACACACTCACACACGCGCGTTCTCCCGTGATCACGTGGATTTTTCTCCGGGTGCTCCGGTTTGTCCCTCCACATTTAGAAACACGCATTTGGATTATTTGGCTGCTGCTATACATTCCCACGTGATAAGCCACCTCGTTCAGCTATCGTCTGTGGCCAGGTCCCTCGCCATCGGGCTCAGTGGGCCTTACCTGGTAAAATTAAAAAAAAATTGTTTAGTTTTTATAAACACACAGGCCATTTCTGGCCCTGCAAAGGGACGTGTCCATTGGCAATCATCACCGAGGTGACGAGTTCACACCATCGACAGTTCTCGTCCACTATGACCACGAGAAACCGCGGCGATGAAGAGGTGCGATGAGATTGAGCGTTGCGGCAATGCAGGAACATGAGGGATGGCGGCGTCGTGGGTGGGGGGGCTTCATCCAGCAGCGGAGTGAGCAAATGATGAGGTACGTACAGTAGGTTGAACTTCTTTTGCGCCGTAGGTAGCCAAACCGTGCTAATCGGAGGTGCGGGGGAAGGAGAGCAAACTAAACACTTGATGACGATCCCCATGATTTTGATGATAGTGACATTGTTGATATTGATTTGCACGATGTTCTTCAGAGCTAGCTTCGTTCCTAAAAATATATATAGTTGATAGTCTCGGCCCAGTCACCAACGGCTGCCACCATAAATACAGAACAATAAGAGTGACAAAACCGGTCACCAATGACTGCACGACAAAACGCATTACATTATAACTATCGTATGATTTGCCTCAATTTCAGCTGTGAGGAATGTTCAACGCTTAGACATGCATGGCGTCGTTCGTGCAAAATTGCATCTCACAACCGCTGCGGAACCACAGGTGATGGGGGAAGCCAGCGGCCAGGCGGTGTGCCGGCGCTACCAACATTGGCCCAAGCTCTGCAGTTCTCCACATATACGCAGACGCTCTCGGTCGATCACGGAGCGTTCATGCGTGTTGGAGGAAACCAGAGTTCCCGGAGAAGCACCCACACGTGCTGGGGGTGGGGGAGGGGGGGACACAACACTCTACCCCACACAGAGGTGGACGGATTCACGTTGCTGAAATCAGTGGGGTATCTGTAAATGGGTTGCCCCTGTGTCGCCTTGCTGGGGACACTTTTTGACACCGGGGCACGAGACGGCGGTTATAGTCCAGGCTGTTTCCCGCGAGTCGTCACATGAATGGTGCCGATGGGTGCGCACGGAACGCGGTGACAGCGCGCGTCAGCTCGCCGTCATGGCCCCGTGACACTCTTGCACAATTAAAAGTAGAAATCACAAACCGTTGGCATCCACAGAGTGATTGCCTCTGTCCCACTTCAATCGCTTGCCGGCAGCATTTCAGATGATTGCCAGAAGGGCTCGTATAGCCCGCTGGCTGGCTCGCTCGCCAGCCCCGACACGAACATGTAAACGTTGATGTCAAATTCCCCGCGTCTCTGTGTAAGTCTATGGGCGTCTATGTGAATTGGGAAAAAGTAAGTCTGTAGGTCTCTATGTAGTCTATGGGTGTCTATGCGAGTCTCCATATTAAGTCTATACGTCTCGATGTAAGCCTATGTATGGGTGTCTATGTGTTTTGTAAGTCTGTAGGTCTCTATGCAAGTCTATGGGTGTCTATGTGAGTGAGTACTAAGTCTATGTATCTCTATGTAAGTCTATGGGTGTCTATGTGAGTGAATACTAAGTCTATGTATCTCTATGTAAGTCTATGGGTGTCTGTGTGAGTGAGTACTAAGTCTATGTATCTCTATGTAAGTCCATGGGTATCTATGTGAGTGAGTACTAAGTCTATGTATCTCTATGTAAGTCTATGGCTGTCTATGTGAGTGAGTACTAAGTCTATGTATCTCTATGTAAGTCCATGGGTGTCTATGTGAGTGAGTACTAAGTCTATGTATCTCTATGTAAGTCTATGGGTGTCTATGTGAGTGAGTACTAAGTCTATGTATCTCTATGTAAGTCCATGGGTGTCTATGTGAGTGAGTACTAAGTCTATGTATCTCTATGTAAGTCTATGGGTGTCTATGTGAGTGAATACTAAGTCTATGTATCTCTATGTAAGTCTATGGGTGTCTGTGTGAGTGAGTACTAAGTCTATGTATCTCTATGTAAGTCCATGGGTATCTATGTGAGTGAGTACTAAGTCTATTAGTCTATAAGTCTCTCTGTAAGTCTATGGGTGTCTATGTGAGTGATTACTAAGTCTATGTATCTCTATGTAAGTCCATGGGTGTCTATGTGAGTGAGTACTAAGTCTATGTATCTCTATGTAAGTCTATGGGTGTCTATGTGAGTGAATACTAAGTCTATGTATCTCTATGTAAGTCTATGGGTGTCTATGTGAGTGAGTACTAAGTCTATGTATCTCTATGTAAGTCTATGGGTGTCTATGTGAGTGAGTATTAAGTCTATGTATCTCTATGTAAGTCCATGGGTGTCTATGTGAGTGGGTACTAAGTCTATGTATCTCTATGTAAGTCTATGGGTGTCTATGTGAGTGAGTACTAAGTCTATGTATCTCTATGTAAGTCTATGGGTGTCTATGTGAGTGAGTACTAAGTCTATGTATCTCTATGCAAGTCTATGGGTGTCTATGTGAGTGGGTACTAAGTCTATGTATCTCTATGGAAGTCCATGGGTGTCTATGTGAGTCCGTGTAGTTTCTAAGTAAGTCTGTCTGTGGGTCTCTACAGCAGATTTTTGTTTTACTCGGCACATTTTAACACGCGTGCGATTGTTTATTTGTTTTAGTGGTAAGATGAGCAATAGCTAAGTCTGTGCTCTCGGGTTGCCTGCTAGGATCGAACAGTGGGGACCGCGCAGAGGCATTGATTGGCCCGATCCTGGCCAGCCGGCTCAAAACGTGGCGAACATATCGATCCGACATTTCGCAACGGGCGTCCAAAAGTACCGCTGTGCTATCGCCCGCTTTGATCGGCCGCCGGTTGCTCGTGAAGCCATCCACTGGCTTCACCCACTCGCGTCGACACGGACATTTAATTTTGTTATGTTTGCTCATATATATATTTTTACGGGGGTGGTGGTGGTGGCGGTGGAGGGGGGGCGGAATTTCCCTCCGTTTTATCTCGAGAGCGCAATCGGCATATTGCGACGAGACGACCAATCCGTTCGTATCTCTCGCAGAGCAGTGCAGGTCCTCGCGTATCGAAAACGAACGGGCCCACGCAAGCGGACATTGCAGAGCTACGTCTGAGATCCATTCAAGTGTCCTCCTTCTTGCCCACAACACGGTCGACGGCAGCGCATTCCCGCCCGCTCTGCACAGAAGAGCGATGCATCGTGTTGAACTTCTTTAGCACCATACGTGGCCAAACCTGCTGATCGGAGGTGCGGGGGAAGGACGGCAAACTAAACACGAAAAGCAGTCCCGAAGGAATCTAGATTTTAAAAGAGCACCGCTCGCTTCAGTGGCGTGTTACCATTGAAAGGAAGTGCGTTCCAGACGGCCGCAGAAGAGCAATGTGAACGCGCGCGATGCGGTGACCGCCGGCTTTGTTCGATGTTCAGCCAAAAGCCTCTGCCGCTGCTACCGCCGCCGCTGCTGCTGCCGCTGGGAGGATGACCACCGGAGTTCACCCGATGAGTTACATGCGCCTTGACGAGAGCAGCGAGGTATTGCGGTTCATATGTGGCAAGTACTGTCCATCGTACGAGCAAAAAAAAAAACAAAAACCGATGGATTAATTTTAAAAGCTGCGCTTTTTATATGCTTAGTTCTTTCGGTAAAGTCACGTTGAAGGGAAACAATAAAATAATGAAATATATATTTTATTATTTTACTTTACCGAAATAACTAACAATATGAATTACTGCAGTCACGAAAGCTTTAAATCAAAATTTCTGCGCTTTTTAGTCAAATTTCATGCAGAGCCTAACGTAAGCGACGCTTATCGTGTCGCCGTTTAGTGCGCAGTCTGTGGGTTGCTCTATTGATCCCCTCTTGTTATGGATATCTTCACGGGGCCTTAGTTCCGTTGTTTTGAATGCGATTCTCTTCGGCCGGAACGAACGTGTCGAAAAGCAGAAACAAACATTCCTTTAATCGTAGGCTTTAAAAACGAAACAATCTAAAACCACTCGTTTGCTCCTTCTATATAATTTATTTTCCTTTAAATCGCTCACCCCCCCTAGAGAAAGTAGAATTGAAACCTTGGCGAACAATGATAGTGAAACCAATGTAGGTCTACCAAGTTCCACTTTTTAAAATGGATAATAAATTAATGCGGTGCTTTTATTACCGTGTTTAACTTTACTGGGACATGTTGTTCTATGCAATATTTACACGTGTATGTGTATTTGTATATACTGGTACAGTCTTTGACCAGCGATGGCATAGTGGTTAGCGAGCCGTGCTACAAACAGCGGAGTTAAGATTCCCACTCTCATCCAATGCCAGTGGTGTATATCGGAACCGGTCCTGGGCATCCCCTAGGTTGACTCAGCCTCAAATTAGTACCTGGTGCGGTGTGTAAACATCGCCACTGGGGAGACAAAGGTGGCCGGGCGTGGTGCCGGCTACGCACCCCATCTTGTGCCGTGTCGGCCTTCACAGGTGCTCGCTAACAGCACTCGCCCCAATAGTCTATTGAGGCTAAACGGGGGGATCTTTGTCTTTTATTCTGTACGTACAGTACCGTGAAATGTACCCTAAGGTATAGCTGTGGAGCAACGATTTACACAATGTGCTGTGAAACTTGACATCTGAGTTGGATTCTCAGCCACGGCCAACACGAGTGGGTGAGTGATAACTTCACTGGTCCTGGAAACTTCCCCCATTGCCTACCTGCATTGACCAGCAGAGTAAAATAAAACAAAGATCATGGGGGAACCCTTCACCCGGTGGTAGATTGACAGACAAGGTTTGTCGATTATTGATATATATATAAATAACGTAACCTGGTACATCTCTCCATCGAAATAATCTAAAGCCTCCTGTAAATCACGTGACTTGTGCGTGGTCACCTCCACATTGGAAGTTATGGTTGTTACTACTCGTGAATGCTTCCTGGTTACGATTGGTTAGATTAGAAAAATCTTTATTGATCCTGGAGAAATCCGATGAGCTATGAAGCTCTTTTTCACAGACGTCTGGATTGTGGATAAGATCCGCGAAGTTCGCACCTACTTCATCAGCGATAAGGGGAGTTCGACTGCACTACAATTATATTAATTCAACGAGACTACTGGCTTACTGACCCGGTAACGATCCAACCGTCCGTTGCTTGTTTATTGAAAGGTTCCATTGCGATCGTAATTGAAAGGTTCCATTGCGATCGTAATCGGCACTTAACGTAACTTTGTTGAAGGGGAGACAACGCGGACTCAAACCTTCCGCGAGCTTTATCGAAACAGGTTGGAACATGCACAACCGTGACACACACGTTGGCTGCGTGTGTGTCACGCCACCGTGGCGAGATGTTAACTACCTTTCCTGGTATGTAGGAGGTCATGGGTTGTAGGTTCGATCCCGACCCTGACGCCCGTTGTATATTTGGCCTTTGCATGTTCACCACGTGGTCGTGTGGATTCTTCTCCGGGTCCTCCGGGTTTTTTCCCCTTCCACATTTAGAATGAACATCACGCGTTTAGACTATTTGGCTGCTGTAAATTTCCACGTGATAAGCCACTTCGTTGATAATCTGTGGCCAGATCGCTTCTGAAAAAGAGAAATAGTTCAGTGGGCCTTACATGGTGTAAAAAAAGTCAAATTCTCACGAATTTGTTTAAGGGGAGGGGATTTGTGACCCAGTCAGCCGAACTGTCTTTCCCTCCCTCCGAAGGAAACTTTGACCACTGATTATCAGCTGAACCCCTTTTTCCTTCGAAGGATTATATTTCATTTATGGTTGCCGCGAACAGGCCCAAAACCCGAGCTTGCGACCGGGCAACACTATCGCGACACCCGATCGAAAAGACGGGTTGCCCACATTGTTGCAGTACGCACTGCTGCCCTGTCCTATGCGAACCAGGGAAATCGCAAGACATTTGTGTTAATGCAACCAAACGATCCTCTGCGCCTCTCGCAGCGATGGATCACGGACCACGTGCATGAGCGTCACCGCTGCCGCCCACCAGCCCAGGTTTAAAATGGTCTGACTGCATGTGTACTCGTTTCATCTGTTGGCTTGACATTAAAATTTTGTTGAAAACCCACACTTAAAAGTTTCACAGAATAAGATCGTACCTGACCACATCCTCCCAAAAGAGCGGGCAAAGCAGGACTTTGCTGATGTCATCAAACGCTACGCAGTTCACTATAGTTCCAAGAAATGTGTACTCGGTTAAGAAATTCAATTTAAATTACGCAATTACAGCACTGATGAATGCCGCATTCTCGCGTTGCTGAATAACGAGTGCTATAACACACACACCATGGGTTTAAAACGAGGAGGTCTCTAAACCCACGCCAATGCGTAACTCTCCCATCAGCAGTTGCGTTATCAAGTACGGGGTCAAACGCGTTGACATATTCGCAAACTTTACGCGATGAGCCTTTCAGCGCTGTTTTTTTTAAAATAGTCTCTTAAGTTTCGGGCAACCACTATGGTTTAATTTTGCCCGTCCCCCCCCCAAGGTAATTCCCGACGAGTGACGCAACTTTATAGTAAAATATTTGTTTTTCCTCGGATCATCATTAAAAGAGATTTATCGGGGCCAGGTGGCTGAGCGGTAGTGAGCTACCACCGGCCAATCATCCCTGCGGGGTCGATAAAAAAAGTGTACAACTTTGTGGGGGAAATCAGCCTGGCCATAGGAATGTGGAAGCCCCGCCACTTCGCTCAGGGGTGCTGTAAACAAGGAGGTGAGTGAGCATGCATCGCCTCAATAGCGATTTCTCATCTGAGCAGGAAATCACGTTGACTCTTGTGAGGTGAAGGGCTAATGCCCAAAATGTCGACGATTATATAAAAAGATGTATTTTAAGGCCACGCAGTGTTAATTATTAACGAATGCGTCGAGTTTGTTTTACGTACGAGAGCTATTGTGACAGGAGATCGCTTTGACTTACGTGCTCTAAAGAGGAAGGGCTATTGCCCGAAACGTCGCCTTTCATCACAACAAAATGAAGGCCACGCAGTGTTAATTATTCACGAATGTGTCGGGTTTGTTTTTACTTACGGGGGAGATATCGGAACTCGACCACCCGACCCCGCCACCCTCCCCACGTTACGAACAAATTAAGACGAGGCGGGGGGGGGGTGGTGCTGACCACGCTTTGCGGTCGAGCCCGATGCACGTGACCATGAATAATGACAAGGCGGCGATTTTTCATCGTGACGACGCAGGGAGAGCGAGCACGTTAACCGCAAAGCCCGCAAGCACAGTTGTGCCGTGGGCCCAATCCTGAGCCCGGGGAGACCGTGACACCGACTCAAATGGGCATTCTGCGCATAACGCCAACGCAGGGACGACGCGGGGGAGTCATCATCGTCATCATCATCGTCATCATCATCATCGTCATCATCGCCGTCGTCGTCGTAAGGGGCAAGGGGCGCAATGTAGTTTCCGAGAATTGAACGGCTGATTTGTCAGGAAAACTACGCCGTATATATGTAGCCTGTATCGTCGTTAAAAACCCGCCACCACCCGACGCAGCCAACGAGTAGTAAGGGTTGTCACGTAAACAGAACGTGGCCAATTCGTCACAAGTACAGCACAACCGGTGTGTTGGAGAGCCAAGCCACAACATTTCACGACGTTTCGCCAGTAATTACAACTAGCTTCTTCGGGCGACAGCCAGATTTGTGAAGTCCATTTGTTTCGTTCCTTATATAGAGGCGTGGTAGATGTGGCGACCACACTTGTGCGCTCTTGCGCAACGTTGGCTGTGGCTGTGTCGGGTGGTGGCGGGTTTTAACGACACATTCATATATTCACGTGATCTAACCTAAAACACCTCTATTATGGGTGATACTGGTCGCGAAAGACTACGTGTTAAATTCACCAACCTGAACAGACACAGCAATGGTGAAGTATAGTAAAACGATATCGTTCAACGGCCTACAAGGCGTGCGGGGGAGGCCCTCGTCTGCAGCAGTGGATTTACGAGCGGGCAAATCGTGACAAAACTCAGAGGGGAGTTTTGGCTGCATTACCGAAGAATCGCACGCAAGGTTTCATTTCACGTCCACCTGGAAAGCCCCTTGCATTCGTCGCAGCCTTGCAGCCGTGAGCGCCAACGGAACGTGGGCGTTTGCCCACGTTCCGATGCGCGTTGGCAGATATATATATTTTTTCAGTTCCTAAATGTGTTTTTTTTCTCATCAACATTTCTTTTTTTTGGGGGCGACCCAGTGCAGTATCGATCTGTGATTCTGTTTAATTGAACGCGCGTTCCTGAAGACGCTCCAAAGCAGCACGTGGATCGGATTCAATTCCCGAAGGGGCTCCCAGTGCGTGGAGTGAAACATCGGACATCGTGCCGAAGGACATCATCTCCTCGGCAGGCGGGAGGTAAAGAGGACGCCAGTAACCCTGCACCTGACCGCCGATGAAAGCATCACCAAATTATTTGACTCAAAACGTTGCTTTTCCGAAAGCCCTTCCAGTGGTAATGTCAAACCATGCGCTCGCCATTGGGTGGCTCAATTTCCTGCTGAGAGAAGAGGTCACCCCACCTAAAAAAAAACTGTTCTCAGTGGTCCGACAGTTGGCCTAATTAGCAAATCAAATTTTATGACCGAGTGAACTGACATAGCCGTGGATAAACACGTTTGTGCAAGGTTTCAAAAGTGGAAAACCCCTCCACCACCAAGCCCATTCTGCTCGCCGCTGCACCACGCGGCAATACTGCAGTTGCTTTTTTTTTCCCCTTCAGGTGTTTCGAGAAAGAAAAAAACACTCTGATAAGACATACCTGGAAAATGCTGCCCCTCGCAGTAATAGTGAACCCTGCAGGCTTTTAAGTGTGACATTACAACGGTGCATTAATAACGTCGTACATTTGGCATTTTCACCATTCTTGTCACGCAGGACAATGACGCAAGGGCACCGCGCTTCACGGACAGATTTAGTCTGCCAGTGGAGAAGCGACGTTGCTTTGTGCGATCCCCCTGAAGAACGACCTGAAGAACCCTCGGGCTAATGTTGCCGCCAACTGCTGCCCTCTCACCGATCTACTCGGCGGCAGGGTATGGGGCTCCATACCTGGTATGCGGGAGCTCGTGCCCAGAACAACCGCCAAATGCGATGTTAAACAACGCAACGCTCCACGTGGACTGAACACGGCTTGCGAACCTCAGTTTGGTTAGGCCTAGGCGCAGACAGTTGTAACTTGCTGTGCAGGCACGCTTTGGTAATGAATTCTGGATACATTCAGTTTGTGATAGCGCCTATGCAGATGTCCATCTGCTCCATACTCTTAGTATTTTTTCATAATGTGGTCATTAGTAGAACAAACTTTCTGACTTCAGCTTGCTCGTGTGGGTGGCTGGCCTCTACATTGTTCATTAGTCAGTTCTGGATTAACTTTGTGCACCATGTATGTACATGTAATAAATAAAAACCTAATTTGTCCATAAAAATAAATTGAAACGCAATGCGCATCATAAACGGACCACTGGAACCGCTGCCAATCGCATGGGCTCCCTGTTCTGGCGAGCATCCTGCTGCCAAACATCTGCGGAAGCGTTCGAATTGCAAAGGAGTTCACACGTTTTCCTGCCAATGATAACCGATACCCATCGACCAAGACCTCGGCAAATGTGTCTCTCCGCCAACTGGGATCGCGCCGTCAACGATTTTTATAATCTCACCCAGAGCCGGAAGAACAAAGGCAGACGTCTGGATAAAACGCCTCATTCGAGACACAATCATCGCACCTCCTGCCTTTGCATTCCTCCTCCAAGACGCTGGCGGTTGTAACCATTAAGTGCATCGGAACATCAACGGGCTGAAGCGCACATCTCCTACGTGAATGGAAAGTTAAAGGACGAGCCACAACTGGTGCGACTGTGGCCATGCAACCCAAACTATGGACCCATATGGTAAACCACTGTAGTCTGCGCTCTTCAATTAAGCAATAGCAAGGCACCACCACGAACTCTCTCGTGAGACCCTCTCGTGGCTATCAGATCTCTACATTGGCATTTAGCTCCTGAACATATTGCCATCCGCCAGAAGAGACAACAATGTAATATGTCTCGTCTAATTGTTAAAAATGTTGGACTGTGAGGACCGGCACACAGTGACCTACTCATTTCAAACTTCACGAGGGTATTTTTAATGCCCACTAAGTAATGGACAGCTTGGGTTCGTACGGTTAATATGGCCGCGGTAATAACCACGGCGGCCTGCCGGATTCGAACCACGAGCCTCTGCAACAAGAGGCGAATGCGCTACGGCTCTGGGTTAGTTGGTGCCAGCTTTGTCTGGGTCAGAAGGGGAGGACTCCACAAATTAGATCTGGTCTTTCCGATTGTTACCTGATCAATTGTTCTATAGATAATCGGTTTTGGATTTCTCAACTGGTCAGCAAAAATGAAAATAGTTGCGGAAAAAAACGTCTCACCGTGTTCCCATTTGTGTCACTGGACAAGTTATCGTGCCCCCCCTTTCTTTGTGTTTAGTTTATAGGCCTTCCCCCGCACCTCCAATTAGCGCGGTTGGCTTTCGTAATGTGCGAAAGGAGTTTCGCATACATACGTACATTAGGAAGCCATTGGAGCTATGCACTTCTAAATCGAGATTAAAAACTCATTTTTTTCCAACTCCTTTTTGCGTTTAGTTGGTTTTCCTTCCCCCGCACCTCCGATTAGCAGTTGGCTATGTATGGTGCAAAATAAGTTAAACATACATACAGACAGATGGCCAGGGCGAATGCCATTAATGCCCTCAACCGTCGTTGGGAAACAATTCAATAGTGGGTAACATATGATGAGCACTTTGGATATTTAACCTTGAAAATGTTGGCAGCGTTTTAAGAGCCACGTTGGGTGTGTTTATTATTCCGTCGCCAAACAAGGACGGACCTGCGTGGGCATGATCGATGATTTATTGCAGGTAAAAATAAAGGTGCCAACATAAGCAGCTGCATCCAGTTTTGGGGTGTGCCCACAAGTGCGGAATTATCACGGTGCCTAATCTGTGGACTATGAAAAAACCATTGGACCTTGGCTAGAAATTGATGCAGTCCGCATCATCCAAGCACCAACAACAGCAAAACAACAAGGCTTCAAAATGAAATGCTTAAAAGTAACACGCATCTATTCGCAAAACAGAACAGCCACACTGCGACTTACGTGAACAAAGTACCAAATTTAGATGGAAAGGGAGGGAAATCACCAAAAAGTTATTCACAGTGACATTTAGATGTGTTTCTGATCAAATTCGACTGGAATAAACGAAGGCGTGAATATGCGTGAGCTTTAAGCATTTTCAAAATGAGCAGGTGGAATATCCATCATAACGTCCGATTGTAATGAACTGCAAGAAATGTTAGAAAGACTTCGTAAATTAGGCTGCAAGAGATGTTAGGCTCAGGATAAAAAGGCAAAGCAAACTATTAACGACTATTTTATTTTTATTTTACCAGGTAAGATCCACTGAGCTATATAGCTCTTTTTCAGAAGCGACCTGCCCATTACGCGATAAGCTCAACAAAGTGGCTTATCACGTGGAAATGTATAACAGGAGCCAAATACATTAAACGCATGTTGATTCTTAATGTGGAGGGAAAGACTGAAGGACCAGGAGAAAAAAAACACTCGACCATGGGTGAGAGATAGCATACAAACTCCAAATATACAACAGGTGTCAGCGTAGGGATCGAACCCAAGACACCCTGTGTACCAGACGAGGTAGTTAACATCTTGCCACCGTGGCGCCCAAAAGTTGCACACATGTTCGCCAAACAATTGGAGATATTGGAAGTTGAAAAAACAACAGAATGTGTACTGCTCCCAAGAACGGCAATAAAAGGCAGGCTGAAATGGGGTGAGAATATAAAAAAACATGTGGTCGAGAGTAAGATCGAGCGATTCTGGGAAGCCGACCTTCATTATGAAAAGTAACAAGGCAAGGTGCGTTGCAAATAATGTTTAAATATGTCCGTACTACCCACCATGACGTCGATCAGAAACACGGATATTCATGAACAATGCAGAACGAAAAACGAAAAGGTGCACAAAGGTGCACGCTTATAATTACACCGAGATGAAGGAACACGCGGACTAGACATAAGCAGGCTTAACGACACCGTGAATATAAGTAAGCTGGGGCAGGGAACCGCAAGAGATACAATAATGGCCAATAGTTAAGAATAATAATGGAATGGAAACCAAATAATGGAATGCACCAATGGACGTACAAACCGAGATGGAGCAATGAATCCAGCGTGTTAGTGCAGGTGCGAGATAGATTTTGACATCTCAGGATTGTGAGCGTTGGTGCCTTAAAAAAGGAGCCCTCTTCCAGCAGTGGATTGATCACGGCTGGTGAACATGACGATGATGAATGTACGAACGAGAACTTTGCATCTTTAGCCATAAAAATATAAACAGAGCAGTGAAACTTGTTTATTTTTTTATGCAATTTTAGCATCAATCCGAGGTGTTTATTATTATACTGGCACGCAGGATCTGCACAAGCACACTTTATTGCAGATAACATGAGGGTAGAAAAAGCGATTGACATTTTTGGTGTACCTTAAAAGGTATAAACACCCACTCTGAAGCCATCTATAAATAGAGTGCTACTTAGGAGATATATTTTATGATGTTTAAATATACTGGCATGTGTTGTTCATCAAGTGCCAAGAGTCGCGTGGATTATGGAACTGTGCGACAATAAGCTGTTACACGACACTCTGAAGTCGACGGTGCCCACTCGCCGATATCCAACTGAACATCGCGGTGCGGACTACGAGGGGAACTTTACAAATCTGCGCCGCTGCGTTGGCTTTCAGTCTTGTCAAATATCGCACGACCGGATATTCGCCGAAGTGCTCCAAACCCTCCGTGAACCACACCGATCAGAAGGCAACACAAAGCCGCCAGCCAACGATGATCTGAACAACATCCCACATCCACAGGCTGAGATCGAGAACTCGGTCGTTTTGGAAACACGCGGCACAAGCTCTGCACGACGTGAATTTTAACATTGAAACGGCGTGGAACAATTTGTGGGATTCGAGCAAGGTGCCCTGGAAACACCTCAACAACAAGCCCATAACCACACTGCCCGGCTTCGACCTTCCTCTACACACCTGACCAGTGACCCCACCACCACACTGCCCTACTTCGACCTTCCTCTACACACCTGACCAGTGACCCCACCACCACACTGCCCTGCTTAGACCTTCCTCTACACACCTGACCAGTGACCCCACCACCACACTGCCCTGCTTCGACCTTCCTCTACACACCTGACCAGTGACTCCACTACCACACTGCCCTGCTTCGACCTTCCTCTACACACCTGACCAGTGACTCCACCACCACACTGCCCTGCTTCGACCTTCCTCTACACACCTGACCAGTGACTCCACTACCACACTGCCCTGCTTCGACCTTCCTCTACACACCTGACCAGTGACCCCACCTCCACACTGTCCGGCTTCGACCTTCCTTTACACCTGAGCAGTGACCCCACAACCACACTGCCCTGCTTCGACCTTCCTCTACACACCTGACCAGTGACTCCACTACCACTGCCCGGCTTCGACCTTCCTCTACACACCTGACCAGTGACCCCACCACCACACTGCCCTGCTTCGACCTTCCTCTACACACCTGACCAGTGACTCCACTACCACACTGCCCTGCTTCGACCTTCCTCTACACACCTGACCAGTGACCCCACCACCACACTGCCCTGCTTCGACCTTCCTCTACACACCTGACCAGTGACCCCACCGCCACACTGCCCTACTTCGACCTTCCTCTACACACCTGACCAGTGACCCCACCACCACACTGCCCGGCTTCGACCTTCCTCTACACCTGAGCAGTGACCCCACAACCACACTGCCCTGCTTCAACCTTCCTCTACACACCTGACCAGTGACCCCACCACCACACTGCCCTGCTTCGACCTTCCTCTACACACCTGACCAGTGACCCCACAACCACTGCCCTGCTTCAACCTTCCTCTACACACCTGACCAGTGACCCCACCACCACACTGCCCTGCTTCGACCTTCCTCTACACACCTGACCAGTGACTCCACTACCACACTGCCCTGCTTCGACCTTCCTCTACACACCTGACCAGTGACTCCACTACCACTGCCCGGCTTCGACCTTCCCCTACACACCTGACCAGTGACTCCACCACTGCCTGGCTTTTGACCTTCCTCTACACACCAGATCAGTGATTACCACCGCGACACTGTCCGACTTCCATCTTACATGGAAACGATGGGCATTTAACCATTAGTGGAAAATAAAATCTTATGTTGTGTACGACTGCAGCTACAAACTCCAAACCATGGAGCACATAACCTGACACCATCCCAAATATAAACCAAACGTGAAGGTGGTTGGCCGAGTGGGTGACAAGGTGGGTGAGGGAGTGGGTGCATCTGCAATTCACCAACTCTTAAATCAATACGATGAACTAAAATCACCATGAATTGAATCTCTAATATTTGCTCTTCATTGGCCATACAAAATCGTCGACACTGGGGTGAATGACAACCTCATTGTAATTGTTGTGGATTATTCGAATTTTCTACGAGTTGTATATCCCAGCCGTGGCATAATGGCGAATACGTTGGACTTGGCAATCCAGCGGTTACTACTCGATCTCCCGACATGGCAGTGGAAACAATAATCCAAGTTTGTTTTGTGCGCGCGCACAAGTGTGACCTTTTGTACTCCAAGTGGATAATTTATCTTGTGGGGGGGGGTCTCTTTGCTCGCAACATAATGGATCGTTTGGAGACGAGACCAAATGCAAATGGCCAAGTAAATCAAAAACGGATGACCGCCGACCGTTGGCACCAGCGTCCTCGTGTGACCCCGACGCTGGCATGTTATTGCACTAGTTCTGTAAATCACTCCCGGTGGTGGTTACAGTTGAAGGAAGCGAAACTATTGTGCAACCGCCAAGTCTGTTCATGCCCAACTTGGCATTCAGTTGAAGATTGTTGTAAAATCACATATCTGCTTTTAAACTGATTGCTCTCTGGTGTAAACCATTCTTTAGACGAAGTGTTCGCCTTTTGGCGTTCTCTGGTCTGACACGGGTGAGACCAGGCCCTAAAGGTGTCAATCAAGTTCAAAGCCAATACATATATTATCAGAGCATGTTTTTGTTTGAATGTTCACCACATGTACGTGTGATTAATGCGGACATGATACCTTGCAAAAGGTTTTTGTTTTTTGAACACCTGTTTCATTGCAGAAATGGTAAAACCTATTCTTATTTTTTTCATACTTTGATACTGGCAAAAAAGGCCCCATGTTGGAGCTAATCAACTTTTTTTAAAAAGGCTAAGTTTGGGGTTGGGAGTACATAATAGTGCAGGATCTGGATGGCAAGGCTGATGTGCTCCTTTATGCAAGTAAATCAGGTACTGGAGGGGGGTTATCAGCTTTTCAAAGCCTTTATCGCCATATCATATCCCAGAATGTACTCCCGTGTTCGAGCCTTCTTGCATGCACTCGACAATATGCATGCAGTCCCGAGGTGTACGGCATGCGTTGGAACAATTATAATGTTTTGTTCAAGTCGCAGGCAATAATAAAACACGTGTTCACTTACTATCGCAGTTCTGGTTTTGATTCAAGCACACTACACCTATGCATTCACAGTGCACAAGTCTACATGGGCTGGTGCACATTCATTGTTTACGTACAGTGCAAAATAAATTTAACGTACATACATAGTTAAAAGATCGCTTCATTTTCAGATAATTCAAAACACTTATTTAAAAGCCGAAACAAAAAAAACGAGTTTCCCAAAAGGTGAATCACAGATGTGGATTAAGTCTTTTAAGGTTAAACTTACTTTACAATATGGCACGACTGTGCAAGTCATAAGTACATTTACAAAGTTTGAAAGGCCATTTGCGCACAAGTGCTACGCAAGGGCGCACACACAAAAACGATGTCTTTCTCCAGCTCACAAAACCCTTCATTGTTCCACGCATGCCAAGTGAGTTTTAATAAATCTGGTTTTATCAGTCGTGAGCAACACTCGCAGCCAATGCGCGGGAAGATAATTCACGGAATAAGGTGGACTCGGTTAATCCCCCCCCTCCTTTCCCACCAACTTACAACATTTTTTTAAAAGTAAATAATAGAAGTGCCCATTTATAGTAACTTCAAGAGTTCAAACTTTATTCAAATACACAATTACCACAATCAACGAAGCCCTCACGACATCACAGCCTCAATTTTGAGCGGGCACTTAAGAAAAGTTTATTTAACTGTAAACTATGAGCGAATTTACAAAAAAAATCGTTTTTAACGACAAGCACTCCAAACATCCAAGGAGCTCTGCAAATTTGCAAAAAAAATCCACCCGGCGCTTGTTATTATTCGACCACTGGTGGAGCATAGATTAACAATGGCAAGCATTTACTGGAAGGCTTGCCTGACATTTTGAAATATCACTAGCTTTACATATAAGAGTATGTGCACAACATTAAAACATAAAAACATCAGCTATTCAATGAACACTGATCAGGTCTGCTTCCGCAGGCAAAGCAGAGATGGGTTCATCTGTGACGCACCGGGGAAATATTAGGCCAATTGTCATCGGCAATGGGTTTCACATGAGCAACAAATTTGGAGTGGACATCGCATTAAGAGATAATTATTAAATATGTATTAACGAATGCAATAACAATACAAGTCATAGTTACCTGAACCAATCATCTGTTCAGATCCAACTTGCGGTTGTTTGGAAGTTACCACAATTTACCATGCTGGGGAGGAGCAATCCATTTATCCAGAATTAGCCATCTCTATATATTATTTTCAAAACGGAAAACAGTGCCGTAAGAGAATTGCAGGCGATGACTGCCTTAAAATTGCCCCCATCGTATTTACAAGCTTTGGCGCCATCCGTCAGCCGCGATTTGACTCGAGCGATTTAAGTACTTGGTTCTCAGCCTAGCAACAATCTCTACAGATCGTGGAGCTGTTCGAGCTGCCGCCGCACAGCATCCGCCTGGTGCAGAAACTCCGTCTTCTTCGTTGATATGACCTTTTTCTGTCAAGCGAGAAATGCAGTCACGTGAGATTCTGTTTGCAAAAAATGAGCAAATATGACATGCTCAGGCAAAAACCATACTTTAAGCACAATTGAATACCTGTGGTCCTGAAATAAAAATGGTTTCAGATAGCAAATATTTTCATTGCAAAAGTGTATGTTATTTCATGTGTGTGCTATTTAATGTAAAATCATTATCAATATTAATTTGTTAATTTAAGCTGTCTAATCGATGCAAAAACGGCAATCTTTAATATTTTGGACAAGTTATTGAAATGCAAACTTAGAAATATATTGAAATACAAGTTTTTCATAAAGTTATCAAATTGCTGTAAATTATAATTTGACAGCAGTTTGAACTGCGTGATTGAAATGTTGGTAAGTCCTTTATACCGAAGTTGTTTTGGCATCAGGCATCAAATGAAAAGCCAAGTGGTCTTCAAGAATGCAATACAGAAGCATTTAATGCAATAAGACGAGATTTCTGGCAAAGAACTGGGACTCAAAACCCGAAGCGATGGCCACTGGCACACCGTCGGACATCTGCATGTTTAGAGGGATTGCACCAAGGCGATTAAATCTTTAGACTACCAAGCGTGAGTTGTGTGTATGTGGTGTATCAACCCAAGTGCTGTAAAATTACTTCGTAAAATGACAATATATTTACAGATGTACTGCATAGAGGAAATTAACATCACAAACTGAAAGGGTAGCTTTGTTGACATGCCACTAAAAATAAAAAAAATACAATTAGAATGGGCAGAGTTTATTTTTCACCACCTTAACTGAGCTGTGTGGTCTGCCGGGTTGAGATAACTTTTCATGTCATGTGTATTTTGCAAACACTGCCTTTTGTGCTGAACAGTAAAACATTATTTACCAACAGGTTCTTTTGTCGCTCAGTTTCCAGACTTATAAACTCTTGGACTGTAAGATCCTCAAATTCTTTCTTGCGCGTCAGGAATCCACAATCACTTGAATGTTTCTTGTGTTCAATCCTGGAAGGTCAAGGAGACAGTGTCGTGTTGTTTAAAATGGCCTGTACAAGTATCGACCAATGCATATGTTATTGGATTGTGAACCAATGAACCATTACAATAAGCAGTAAATCACATCAAGAACAAAGGTGTATGGACAGGCATAGTTTATAGATCTATCAGGCATAGCTTAAAGTTTCTGTATGAATATGAAGCACTAAGCAGACAAGAGAGTGCACTGCAACGGGAGTTTGATCCTAACGTCTTTTAAGGAATACCTGAATCTGTAATGGGAGCCCACTCCCATCAAATTGCATTGATCAGCGTGCTGAAGTATGGTCAAGCAACCACCAACACAGCTTGTGGTGGTCTTCATGCAGCAGTATATTGACAAATAAAAGTCATATTATGGAATGAGTCAAGCCATAGGACAACCACTGATGACTTCTTCACAAATTGGTAATCATTGACCCTAGGAGGGGTGATGGTCCAAACCAAACTCCAAACATTATTTTAACTCATAACCTTCCAACTGCGAGCCGTTTGCTCCAATTTGAAGTAACATGGGCTGGATTGGAACGGCAACACATCACTATCATAACCCCACTCACAAAGGCACGTCATCCTGTTCCCAGCCGTCCAGCTCCTTAAAGCAGAAGAAGCAGATTACTGCATCCAGCTCCAGATCGGATGGCTGGTGGAGGAATCCGGCTATTGCCATCTGCACGTGGGCACAAAAAAATAAACACCGCGCACGCACACACCTGTCAGTATGGCAAGATGTCTCAATTATCAAGAGCCTGCTCTCACTTGTTTAAAAAATGTCATCAGCATGGGGCGGTGCAACAAAATCCATTGCCTCTCATATGCTATACACCAGAGGCCGGCAACCAAAATGAGCCATTTTTTTTTTTATTCGGTAAAACAAAAAAATATGTATTTCAAGAGCCGCAATGCATCCGGATGCGAAACGGTGGTCCTTAATAACTAACATTAGGAAGCAGTCCTTAAAGAGCCGCACGAGGACGTTACTGACGCTGGGCTGCACCCCCTTCACCAATAAACATGCAATGAGCATGGTGGTGAAGTATGGTCAAATAACTACCGGTGATCCGCAGGGTGTGGGGTAAGGCCCTCATTTGGTGGATTAATAAAATGGCTGTAAGTATAAATTACTGCCCAGGAAGTGGTGGTCTAGTTTTTCTTGTGCTGGTAGAACAAGGAAGTGACATGTACTGAAATTAATTTAAGGAACAATTTCGTAAAGTTTAAAAGCAATACAATTTATTGACTTAGTCGTAGGCAACTTAAACAAAATAATCTTATAATTGAGAAACTAGATGATTGTTATAATAATTGTTTTGTTTGCTAGTAGAGAAACGCATTGCTCTGCAACAGTACATTCGAGACAGCTGTAATTTTTCGTCTCACAATCCTGCACTCCGAGCATTAAAAAAGTAATCTGCTTTTTATGGAATAATATTCAATGATAATCTGGATCGCAAGGTTTTTTTTTTATATATATCGTCGGATTTCAAGAATATTCTGGCGAAAGAATGGCATTATTAGGAACAAATTGAAAAGTCAGAGTACTTTTAAATTAAAAGTGGTAAATCTTCTGTATTCGTCACGCCCACCTCTACTATGTAGCTATTACAGATCTACCAATATTCTTCCTTTTCAAAACAATGTTAATTTGTTCCACGGCAAAATCCAATTTGCCATATACCCCAGCTAGTTTCGGTGGCAACAGGCCGCAGCCACCAACAATAGTTATTGTAGCAGCCAGCCATGAAACTCGAAACATAGATACATAGTTTTAAATAGTATGATTATTACCGCTTGTTTACCCAAGAAAGCCTCGCCAAGTCAACATATTTTTTTAAGACGATCGATTTTGCTCACGTGTCATCCAAATAGTCATTTGCAGGTACATGTTCAGCGTTGGGATGTTTGTTCAAACACCAGTCACACAGTTACGTGTTACCACTGCGCCACCTTGCAGGCACATTGTATATTACACTTCAATGATGCCCTTACTGGACATCTGTGAAGAAGAGCTTTATAGCTCATCGGCTTCCTCCAATTATAAACAAAAAAGTTTTGTCTGGACTTAAAGCTTTCGTGACTGCAGGAATTCATAATCTTGTGTCTTACGCGAAAGCCACGTAGATAGATCAAATAATAAAAATAATAACAATATCACGACGTTTTGATCGCAACACAAGCAATCGTCATCAGGTGAGAAATATCGCGGGAGTTCTGCTGAGAATGTATTGTTGCGATCGAAACGTCGTCAAATTTCTATTATTATTTGATCTATGTAGCTTTACCGAAAGACCCAAGAATATAGAAAAGTAATGATACTGATATTGGCGGTGTATGGCAATCCACGTGCACCGAGTAAAGCGGTTTGTACAGCATTGTTCATTACATTCGCTTAAATTTGTACAAGTTCCAAAGAATTGAAAATGATGAACACGCGCACGAATTCCCTTTCACGAACTGTACTCGTGTATTAGCAGCGTAGGATAAGCCTTGGCGTTCAGGATACCGTTGTTAGTAAGATATGGTAACTCGGTAGCATTCTAATAGTATATCCAGGCTTTCACTACCAATTAGGATTTATAATCAGTTAATTTTTAACTGGATTAGAGCTCTGTGCAACGGAATGCCAATTAAATCTAGACTTAAGCAAAAACAAAAAAGTTATTGCTGTGGTTTTCCCACCTGATGATGATCGCTTGTGTTGCGATCGAAACGTCGTGAATTAATTTCTTTTTTTATACCTACGTGACTTTACCGAAAGAACCAAAGAGTATGGAATGACAATTATAACACTCAATTCTAGATTTAAAGCTTTCGTGACTGCAAGGATCCATACTCTTTGGTTCTATTCGGTAAAGTCACGTAGGTAAAAAATAAAACAACAAAAATCACGACGTTTCGGCCACAACACAAGCGGCCTTCATCAGGTGAAGGGACCAGCCTGGTCCCTTCACCTGATGAAGGCCTTCACCTGATGAAGGCCGCTTGTGTTGTGGCCGAAACGTCGTGATTTTTAGTTTTATTTTTTTTACCTACGTGACTTTACCGAATAGAACCAAAAAGTATTATAACACTCCACCGCTCGGACAACGGTCAAAACAAAGGCGCGTCCTACATATACACACGTACATAACGATGTGACATTCGTAGAATGCGGTACTGCCGGACGCATAAACACAACGGCGTGGAGGAGGAGGAGGAAGAAGAGGGCGGCGAGGGGGAAAACTTCACCCAGAAACGTTTGCAACACGAAACCGGCGGCTCACCTGCTCCGGAGTGCACGCGCAGTTCTCCTTGAATGGCCAGCGGTCATCATAGGTCTTTCTCCGCCTCTCCAAGTCGTAGAACTCCTCACCGATCTGCGTGTACTTCTCCATTGTGGTCCCTGGCTCAGCTCCTCTCCAACGTTCAACTTCTTTACTCCGCCATGAAGCAACGCCAGGGGGGAGTGGGGGGGGGGACGAGCCCCTCACAACTTGTAATAAAAAAAAAGCCCGCGAGCGTGGTGGGTGACGTCACCCTCCGCCATCTGATTGGTCCGATGACGTGCGCTCGTATGAATACCGCTTCGTGATTGGGTATTGTTTGCTTCTGGTCACCTACGATTGGTCCGTTTGAATTTGTTGTCGTTGGGGTTCGCCGCCGCCCCCCTCCCTTCTTCCCCCTCTCGCGCCCCCCCCCGCCCGCCGGCAGAGGTTCGCGTTTTTGTGGAGATCTTCCGGAAGACGGCCGTCGCGCAGGCTCAGTTACAACATTGTTGGCAACGATTTTGACTTCTTGGTATCTTCTGCTTCTGGAAGACGAAGCAAGTGTTTAAAACAACCCCGGTAGAAGGGTTTTTTTTTATTGCGAGACGAGGAAGCAACGCTACCTCTTCCGGAAGATCAAAACGTGCGGGGTTTTTTGTTGTTGTACAAAATCATGCATTAATAGGCGCATTGCTTTAAGGCTACCCCTGTGTGTTATATAATGTAAAAATTTGGGCTAATTGATTTGCGTTTCTTGTTGCTTTGCTCGAGTATAAATTCCACTGAAAAAAAATCGCATTTGGAATCAAATTCGAACCCAACGTAAACGCATGCATTCTTAAAGGCTAGTTTACGAGATAAAACATGAACATTTTTTCTTCATAAAAATCTGTAAAAAAAACCTCGTATTGTCTGATGTGGGTGACTTATCTCGGAATAACCTACGATTGGAATGGAAAGCAATTGCGTGAGCTTTAAATTGACGATTGGTTAGTTAACTTTTTTTAAAATAAAATGCAAGGCACGGGCGGGGATCGAACCCGCGATCTTCGGTTTACGAGACCGACGCCTTACCACTTGGCCACCGCGCCAGTTGCACAATTGGGTCGCTCCGATATTCATTTGATCGCACGAACCAAACTCAACTTGATTGTACGTTAGTCGTCTGTACATGTGTAACTGTACAACTATGAACTGTAATCTCCATATATATAAAAGGCAAAGTTGTGAATGTGTGTCTGTTCAAAATGTTTAGCGTACTTCCCGACATGCAACAAACTTGAAATTTGCCATTTGGGTACAAAAATAATAACAAAAAATACTTTCCAAACTGTACACCATGCAAAAATTATAAAAAATACACTTATTTTTCGGGGGGGGGGAGTTCAATAATGCATATATTTTTTCGCACGCCAAGTGAGCTGTGACGTAACATCTGTCACGTGACCCGCGCATGTGGAAGCGTAACGCATTGTAGTGTAGTGGTTAGCGCGCCGCGCTACGAACCCGGCGACCCGAATTCGATTCCCGCTCACGGCCACCACCGGTGACGATTATTTTTACTGGTCCTGGGCCTCCCCTAGGTCGACTCAGCATCAAACGAGTAACTGCTCTGCTGTGTGAACATCGCCACTGGGGAGACAAAGGCGGCGGGCGTGGTCAATCCAAGTCCCGGGCGAAGCCGGGTAGTACAGCTAGTAGTTTGACAATACAATGTTATTTGGTGATACTGCGTTGGCAATGGCGCGTGAGCACACATTTAAAAAAAAAACCCACTCATAATAGGTCACGACGTTTCGATCGCAACACACGCGACCATCATCAGGTGAGACAATCACAGCAGGTGAATCCGCTGAAGCATATGGTCTTGAAGAAGTTCAAACTTGAACAACGGAAATGGTCTTCGATCGGATTGCAGCATAAGAAGAAGGGGCGACCTCCCACTAACGAGGAGTGTGCAGCGGTGGAAATTCCACATTGCCACGACGGATATCCATGATATAAGTCGCCATCATCATTACGCGATCGATTCACTACAGGATGAAGCTATCACTACGCATGACATACATGGGAGTCATTAAAAGTTATCTTTTGCAGTCGTACAGGGAGTGAGATTTAACACTTTTATCATCGCCTAACCGGCGAATTGATACTCCATCACTGCTCTGCGACAACGCAATGGGCAGGAAGGGCAAGATCAATGGGCTCGCAGAATGCGAAAGAGTGCGTTGACTCATTAATCTATCCCCACCCCCCACCAATTTGCGCAGGAACGTTGTCAACACATGTACGGCTCCCAAAAATGTGGCTGTCGCCTGATGAAGCTAGTTGTAATTACTGGCGAAACGTCGTGCTCAGGTTGTAAATGTTGTGGCTTGGCTCTCCAACACACCGGTGTGCTGTACTAGTATACTACACTGTACACTTCACTATACACTACACACTACTATACACTACATTATACACGAGTGCTGTACTCGTGACGAATTGGCCACGTTCTGTTTACGTGACAACCCTTACTAGTTGGCTGTGTTGGGTGGTGGCGGGTTTAACGACGCAATTATATATATAGGGGCCGTTCAAAAATGACGACACGCGATTTTGAACGATTTTTGACCCCCTCCCCCTTCTCGTCACACGGCGTCACAAAAAGTCAGACCCCCACTCAAATATGACGTCACAAAGCTCTGCCCCCTGCCCCCCCCCCAAAAAAAAAACACATTTCCATTTTGAAAATAAAACATGTTTCAAATCGCTTTAAACTATTGTCATTGTAGTGCGTATTTAATGTGGCGCTGCACTCTGATGTTGTAGGAGTGTTGTGATAACAATTAGTGTTGTTATAACAATTCTATATTGATTTAAAGTTGCGAATTTTGATGTGACGTCACATTTCTCAAACCCCTCCCCCCCTTGTCACACATCGTCACAAATGTCTGCCCCCCCCCAAAAAACCCCCCTCTATTATGGATATTGGTCGCGAAAGCCTTATACATGTTAAACCAATCTCTATCCCCTTATATCTTGACTTAAAGCTTTCGTTACTGCAGCAATTAACACATTCCTGCGGAGGGAGCTGGTTAGGAACGTTGGGTTGCTCGTTCAATGGCCAGGGTCAACGGCGGCACCACGTGGTGTATTCCGCAAATATGCCCGACTGTGAGGCCAGGCACAAGCCGGCGTGAGTAGGTGAAACGTTGAGTTTTATAAGGGCACCACGGGGTGACCAGCCCCTCGCCACTCAGCCCCACCCCTCCCACCCCCCACCCAGCCCCACCCTCCCCACCCAGCCCCACCCTCCCCACTCTCCCCACCCAGCCCCTCCCCACTCTCCCCACCCATTCCCTCCCCACCCATTCCCTCCCCACCTAGCCCCTCCCCACCCAGCCCCTCCCCACCCTCCCCTCTCCACCCAGCCCCACCCCTCCCATTTTTGGATGCAGGACAGACGGACACAATAATCCCCTGTGGGCTGGTGGTGTAACCAGGAGGTTCCTACCAGTAATATTCTTTGGGTTCTTTCGGGAAAGTCAAATAGATAGGTTCAAAGAAGATAACAAAAAAACGACGACGTTTCGATCACAACTCAAGCGATCGTCATCAGGAGGAAAAAGATGACGATCGCTTGAGTTCTTATCGAAACGTCGTAGGTTTTTGTTATTTTTGTGTTATTTTTCTTTGAACCTATCGACGTGACTTTACCGAAAGACCCCCAAAAAAATATCTTATCCCCTTAGTAACATGGCCGTCGAAGTCGCCGCGTTTGTGACGTCATCCGTGTGACGTCACGACCCCGCCCCTCCCCTCCCCCCTGCCTCTCTCTCACTCTCTGAGCGCGTAATGGCGGATGACGGCCTGGAAGACGACTGGCTGCCGTCGGGCAAAATGAACGACGCCCTCGAGCCGGAGGGCGCCGGGAGCGGGGACGAGGACGAGGAGAACTTCAGCGACTCCGAGGACTTCGTGGACGACGTGTCCGACAGCGGTGAGGGACCCACGGTGTGTTTGGGCGCGGTTGCCCGAGACGCCGCCGCCGCCACGTGTTGTGTGTGGTGCAATCCGTAGGCCTCTGTGCCGGTGAGACCAGGCAGGGCCGCCCGCCCGCCCGCCCCACACCCCGCCCGCCCGCCCCACACCCCGCATTGAACGGTCCCTTGGACGCCCGGCCTCAATGAAAACGTACGGTCTCTCGTGAAATATATGTTCGTGTATGTGCGCGCGGTGCTGCGATGGGCCCGGTGGGTTGCAACAAGCACGCGCATCGGATTTTTTTTTAAAAAGGTGAACGTTTCGACAATAATTACTTGGCCTAAACCAAAAAAAAGATAATGGACGACGTTTCGGGTGAATGGGCCCCCCCTTCGTCGCAGAGCCACGCTGTCTGCGCTGTGCTCTGTGAAGAAACGACCCAAAAACGAAGCACGTTTATGACACGTACTTGTGAGTTAAGAAAAACAAAAAAGTTCCATTGTGGCTTGATAAGGCTTTAATTAGGACCTTGACCAACCTGGCTGTGTTTAAATGGCAAGAGATGATTTTTTTTCTCCCATATTCCCGTGAAAGCTTCAACTCCTTTTTCGTTTCGCGATGGTCTGGCATCAGGGGTTGTTTGCGTGCGTTTCACGAGGCCCTTTTTGTCAAGTTTTGCCGCTCGGATTTACACACACGCACACACGCACGTGCGCGTGTCCCCGTGTTGGTTGACGGGGTAGTAGTTTCACCATACTTCACCCACATCTGTTGGGTCGTTGCTGGCTTCGTGAATTGGGCAAATTGAGTCGAAAACCGATTCGGAATAACAGTAACATCACTCGCCAAGGGGTGGGAATCGAACTCAGGTTCAGCTATCAATGAGTTTCACTGCATTTTTTTACAATGAATTAGTTACATATGGGAGGAAACCCCGGTTTGTACGGGGGGGGGGGGCGGGAGGGTAACGCGGCACGTGATTGCTCACAGTCTCCATTTCCCTGTGAGTTGTGGAAGTTATTTCACCATAATTCACCACCACCGTGCCACGCGCAGGTCACTCAGTGTGGGTTTGGTGAACGAGGGAATCACACAAAACAACGTTTGCTCACCTTTTCCGTGGCCCGAGAAGTGCCGCGCTTACTCGGGCTGAATTGGCTGTATGAAAAAATAAACAATAACAGACGAGAGGGTCTCTTTAACTGCGTAAAAAAGGTGTAAAAGACACGGGTTCGTCCATCCCGTCAGCCAGCCGGCA